GGAACCGGGTCCAGAAGCAACCAGATGACCCCGCTGAAAAATAAAACGAACTCTGGAATGCCTCCACACACACACTCTCCCTGACTCAGGGCAAAAGTCTAGTGACCTGCCGTTTCTGAGGAGAAAAAAAACCTCATCACCTCCCCCTCCCCAGTCTTCTGAGGGCTATCAGCCTGGAATGTGGGCTGTCGGCCAGTTCTTTTGTGTGTGTGAATCACTCTAGCCAAACCACCCTCCCCCGTTCAACATCTTTCTTTCACAATGATGCAGGGGAAAGAAAAATTCCCTGCTTGGTTTTTTAGAACAAGTAAACCTATGACAGAGTGCATCCCTGAAAACCTGGAGCACTCAATGTTATTAAAGTACCACACAAATAGTCAGGAATGGTGACTCAGACTGAAAAGAAAACGGACTAAAGCAAACAGCTGGGGACTGCAATGGGTTTTCTAGCCCCCAGATCTAGGAGGGTTCTCTGGAGTAGTCAGCTGCTTTTGGGGAAAGGCCATGGTGATACCCATTTGAGCCAGCTGAGGTCAAACTAGATGGGTGAAAATGCTGAGATAAGGCCATGACCATCGTGTGACTCCTGCTGCAAAAACAAGGTTCCCATATTCATTGGCAGAATGCTATGAAAATGCAGCTCATCCTTGATCCAGTTGGACTTCCACAAAGGCCTCTGCTAAGATCTCTTAGCAAATGTTTTTAGAGAAACACGGCTGCCAAGGATGAAAGCAAAAGGTCCTCTTGTACATTAATGACTTGCTTAAAGGAAAGAAAATGCACCAAAGCAGCAATCAAGGTGTTTTGTGAGCAAGTCAGGAGGTCTGAGCAACTGCTGGGATCTGTGCCATTCATCAAATGCAGAAATGGGCTAGGAAGGTGGGCAGGGAGCAAGAGGTAGACATCAGTATTCAGGGAAGTGCCCCTGAAATGTTTACTGAGAACATTTTGAAAACATCAGTGCTGTACTCAAGATTCACAGTAGAAACTATGGATGTCTTAGGCTGCTTTGCAAGTTTGTGCTGCTGTCACTTCTCAAATTCTAATTCCTCCACTGGCATGAGCCACATTTTACAGTCTGCCAG